TTTTGAATGTTTCAGTAGAGGATATTCGGAAATTAGATGTTCGTTCGAAGCACAATACATACATAAGTTTAGTTGTCTCCTTCTTATTCTTTCTTCAGAAGTAAGAGGACTTTTTATTATACCTACTTCCATAGGTTCAGTTTGTGGAGGAATTTTTTCAGGTAGTTTTAGAGTAGTGAAAGGTTTTCTCCAGGTAAAATTAGTAAGAACCCTTTCAGCTTTTCTTTCTCTTAGACGTCTATCAATACTGATAGACAGTTGAATCAATGCATTTAAGGTAGGAGGAAGTTCTGTACGAGAGAGTTCATCTTTCACAGCTTCAGATAATCCGAGGCGGAATTGATTGCGTAAAGTAATGTCATTCCATTGGGTTTCTGTAGCCCATCTTTTGAATTCTGCAATATAATCTTCAACAGGTCTATTCTTTTGGTGTAATGTTCTGTTGGTTAAATCAGCAGTAGTTTGTTTAAAAGGATCTTCATATAATAAAGACATAGCTTCAAAGAACTCATCCAATGAATCTAATATGGGATCATCATTTTCCAAAAAGGAATGGGCCCAGGCCATAGGTTCACCTCTTAAAAAAGAGATCACTGAACAGACTTTTGATCTTTCGGTGGGATAAGATCTAGGTTTTAAAGCTATTAGTAGTTTGCAAGAATTCAAAAACTCTCTGTACTTTGTTCTATCTCCATAAAATTTTTCTGGATTACAGACAGCAGGATCACCAGCCGATTGAAGAGCGGCATGAGGAAGATGACCTTGAATGTCTCTAACATAAGTTAATATTCTCTCATTTGTAATTTGCAGTTCCTGTAACCCTTGAGCAATCGTATCCACTCTATTGGTTAGGGCAGAAACTTGAGAGTTAATATCTGCTGGTTCCATTGAATGGCTGGATTATTCTGTTATTCTGTAATACTTATTTTGTAATATTTCTTTAATTGGAACTCAACTGCAGCATTTCTTGGTTGCAACAACAATAAGGTTCACCTCCTTTTATATTGGTATGAAACTATGGTCACTGTACCTTTAAATATCCATGAAGGTAAAATTAGGCTTTGTAGCAATCCCTTATGAGTAAGAGGAATAATTAGACAAGTGACACTTTAGTGAGTTTTAGATACTGTGTAATATAAATAATAGGAATTGACTTGTTTGGTAAAAGTATTACTTAACTTAAAGGCAGTTCTGGTACTGGAAGGGTTAATTCACCCAATGAAGGAGAAATTAGAAGTCCGTTTCAACAAGCTGAGAACTAGGAGTGGAGAGTGGGGAAGTCCGTTTTAACAAGCCGAGGTCTGGGAGTGGAGAAGGTAGAATTCAGAGTTACAAGCCGAGGTCTAGGAGTGGAGAAGGTAGAAATCCGTTTACAAGCCGAGGTCGAGAAGTGGAGAAGGTAGAAATCCGTTTACTAGCCGAGGTATAGAAGTGGAGCAGGTAGGATCAAAAGTAGAGCAGCTGATCTTCATGCAGCACCTGTGCGAATAATCCAGCCCTTTGAATCTGGCGCGGTCCTCCTAAGTATCGTGGAGGGACCGCGTCAGAAAAAGGGGCGGGGCTGAGCGCCGTGAACCCGGAAGTGGGTTCCGGCGATGAATTACATGCCATGCTATACCTGACAGGGGGTCCCTATTAAAATTATGTATGTTTTGGTGTATTTTATGTTTTATTCATTGTACCTCTAGAGCCTGGGAGATAATATGTTTAAGTAAAATGAACTCATTTATCTCCCAGACACAGAGACATTTTTCCTATACTTTTGCTGGAGAGCCCATGCTGGGTTTCTGTGTATAAAAGTGGGCCATCTGTCCATAATAAAACATTCCTGTTGTACCCTTCATCCAGTGTTGACTGATGTTTGGGTTACGCGAATGACAAAGTGCTTTATTTCTCACGACCTGGTTGGATTTCGGGAGAGTGCAAACGAATGTACTATATGAAGGACAGGGAGTTTGTTAGCTTGTGCCAACACATGCACTATTACTACTAGTGTGTATACCTGATGCTCTGTTGAATCAAGACTTTTAGTTAAAAGAACATAAAACACAGACAAGTAGTTGCTTTCACTGATTGCTGTGTACAATTAAAATTACCTAGCAAACACACAATTAAAATATTTATGAGTGTACAACAGCTAACTATCTGGACTAACTACAAATCAATGCTAAGTGCTTAGTACTGACTATGTCAAATTAATAAAAAAAAAAATTTAATATGATTTTAAAAAATCAAATAAAAAAAATGTTTATAATACCTACCACAATGCAAAACACTGGTGAAAGGACACTGACATTCACTACACAGCACAGTACAAATCAAAGAGAAAACATTCTCTCTACCTGGAACGTTGCAAGAATTACATGATTTTGCTATTTCATGACGAAAAGTCATGATTTTATGAAAGACACGAAGGCGAGTATTGCTTAACCCTTTCTTTACTGTCCACCAATAGCACCAAAGAATACAAACAGTAAGAAAAATGGTAACCATAGTGATAGGATACTCCCATACCAAGTCCCAGTGTAATAATCACCACCTCCCCACATATTTCCTCTTTCTTTGGAGATGCGGCACAATAACCACCAAACAGGAACCGATGAATCAGTCCAAACCACAGCAGAACAACCGTCCCGAAATCCAGCCGGACTTCGATCAGGAACCAAAAAAGAACTGGGACCAATCCATCAACGAATAGAAACATCAACAGTGAGGAGCCCATCACAGAACGATCCATAGACCTCCAGCCAACGTGGTGAAGCCTTGTGGGAAGTAGTGAAGACCCCCAAACAGCACAGAATCAGCACAGAATCAACCTGTAAAAACATAAAAAACAGGAGCCAAACGGTTAAATCGGTACTTGAACCAAAGTGTGCATGCCAAGACATAATGTATTGATGAACAGAAGCAACACAGTGCCCATAACGTAAGACAAAACCCACCAGACAAAACATATAACATGATCAGGTCAGATGAACATAAGAGGTAATATAAACACAGAGTGCATCACAAGTACCTACCATCCCTTGGAAACATACCTGAAAAAGAAAAACAATAGGGAGGGATAATCAAGTGAAAGAAACGTAAAAGGGTGGGCAATACACGCCTTCGTGTCTTTCATAAAATCATGACTTTTCGTCATGAAATAGCAAAATCATGTAATTTTATGTCAAGACATGGAGGCTCATATTGCTAGTTTAAAGCTGATCAATAACAGAAGAAAAAGTGTGAGGCGCAGGCCGAAAGTAAAACTCGCGAAAAGTGGATTCGCGGGACCAGTCCGCAATCCTCATCAGGTCTTCCAGACATGCCCCCGAAGCCACCATAGACGTGGCTAATGCCCCCCGGGAGGAATGGGCGATAAATATGGACGTCTCCACACCAGCCAGCGATATCACTAATTTCACCCAGCAAGCCAAGGTATTGCTGGACACAGGGGAAAAAGGTTGACGAACCACGAGGAAGAGCTGAGGGCAGGGCCAGATTAAGAGCCCAGTTGGTCTGGAGCTGACAATTATGAGGGGCCCAAGTACAGAATCTTATTGACCAAAAACACTAAAACATTCATACCCTCATATGACTCGGATGGTATGCGCCATACCCGGAAGTGAAATGGTGAAAAGTAACGCTGGAATGCACGTTGCGTTCCATTAGACGCAACCCGGAAATGAAGGACACCAGGATCAAAACTAATGAGCGGGCTATTTAACCCCTTAAGGACACATGACATGTGTGACATGTCATGATTCCCTTTTATTCCAGAAGTTTGGTCCTTAAGGGGTTAAAGCCGGAAAAATCAAACAAAATACATGACAGCCAACTGAGGAAGCCTATTTTAAAAGGTGAAACGCGTTTTGGACAATGTTATAGACTATACAGCCTACCCAGATACTTATCTGGTATGATTTTACTGTTTTTACTTTTGGATTTTTAGTTGGATCAATAAAGCACCTTTTCCTAAAGAAGTCTCTCTAACCTGGCATTTGTACACTTTGGAGCCGGTCAAGAGGGAGAAGGAAAGCACAAATCACTTTGGAGAAGAAGGATCTGGACATCCTTAAATAGTCCAAGGGCGCATACCATCCGAGTCATATGAGGGTATGGCTCTAGGCTTGTGAGTGATATTGCTCTTTTATTTTATCTTTTAAGCCTTTTAAATACTGTATTGCAGAAAATCTGTTGAAATATTACCTAGAAACTCCACCTTTTATATGTATGTATATTATTTGTTTTTAAGGTGTTAGAGCTTTTTATCCACTTACCTCCATTTTGTGAACATATCTTGTTATATTATTTGTACTTTTTAACCACTTGCACAAAGTGGTGGTGTTGATTATCACTGCAATATGGCTCTCACTGAATGTAGAGAATACTCAATTATCAGTGTAGATCAAATGATGCTTCAACAATTAACCCTTCAAACGAAACCATTTATGTAGATTCAGATAACTGCAAATATAACTTGAAAAAGGCCCTCATTAGAGAAATGAAAATGAAATGGGAGGTGGCCTCTTTGAAAAAGTATGTAAGGGAACAAATCACACCCAGAGGTCTGAGATTCCAAAAAAAACCTCTTTCGATAGAGAAGACGTAGGTTTCATGACGGGGTGGAACAAGATGTTGGAGGGCTTTGCCTTTAGCACTATGGGATATACCATCTCTAAACGAGAGGAGGCCCTCCTACAACTAGACAAAAAATTACAAACTGGAAAGAAAAAAATAAGCAAAACCACTATAGTAGATAAAACTGAGAAAGAAACCATCAAAATAAAAAAGAATAAATATTTGAGGGACACCAATGATTATAAAACGGGAAATATAAATGCCCCAAAAAATCAAAGATCACAGTTTAACAATAACGATAAAGAATCGTATAGAAGGCAATGCAATCATTCCCAAACTAGGAGATATATAGAAAGAAGAAGAAGTAGATCACCCTCTAGATATAGACAAAAAAACAGACATGAGAGGCATGAAATCAGTAGCACACCCAACTATAGATGGTGGAACACAACCAAAGGCCAACAACGGGTCAAGAGAAAACATGTTCCCCTAAGCGAGAGCCAATTCCTCCTCAATGGAGAGACCATAAGAGAAATCACTCTCCTCCACCAAGGTCCACCGACTACAAGAGTTATAGCCAAGCAGTCCAATCAAACCTCCCAAGAAGAATAGAGAGAAGGAATCCAATGTGGAATGAAGAAGAGAGAAGGAGAAAAGATGACAGACACCCTCCAGTGATACAGAGAAATAGATCGGATGAAACGGAGGAAGAACCACATATATCCAAACAAGAATCCTCATCGACATTTTTTCGGAAGGACCCAGTAACAGAAAGACTGAAACAAACACGACAAATCACAATATGGGAGTCTCCTGGCAAACGGCAGAGATCGGCAACAAAAGAAAGAGAAACAGAAAAAGAAGAAGAGAGGCACAGAGAGAAGAGAGGAAAGAGGTAAACTCAAATGGAATTTTTAACTTGACGGGTGAAGAATTACCCATGGGAGAGATTGAAGTCTTACATAAAGGTCTGAAATTTGCCCCAACCTCTGATCTCAATAAATTCTATTTTTACACAGATGTCAACAACTTTATCAGACATCTCTGTCTGAAAAAATTTTTTGCCAATAGGGAAGACACCCCAAATGAGGAAGCCATATCACAATATATACACACGAACCTAAAAACGATATCCAACTTCTTCCCCAAACACCTTATTTCAGACGAGATAAAAACTTTTGAAATAATGGTAATGAAAGAAATAAAGAAAATTAAACCATTATACAAATATCAACAAAATATGTCAAGTAAAGAAAAGAGAGCAGTGAAGGAATTAAAACAAAACAAAGAGATCATAATCAAGCCAACGGATACAGGGGGAGGCATAGTAGTCATCTCGAAAAGTAAGTATTTTCAGGAAGCAGAACAAATTTTGTCAGATCCCTGTACGTACCAAAAATTGGATTAGAATCCAACTGAAGGTATTAAAAAGAAGTTTGATAATTATATTGAAAAGGGATTGGAAAAAGGAATACTGACAATAAATGAAGCTAAGTACCTATCTACCCCATACCCCAAAACACCAGTGTACTATCATCTCCAAAAAGTTCACAAGAATAAAGAGAACCCACCGGGAAGGCCCATTATATCTGGGATAGACTCTATTTCAGCGAAAGTATCGGAATACCTTGATCACCTAGTACAGCCTTTAGTTATCCGTAATCCTGCTTACTTGAAAGACACTATCCATATTTTGCAACTAATAGAGGAAATCACTTGGAAAGAGGGCAGTTTTTTAGTGACATGCGACGTGACTTCGCTCTATAGCATCATACCGCATGAGAAAGGATTAGAAGCAGTGCAATATTTTTTAAAGAAAAACAATTTTAAAGAGGAACAAGTGCAATTCATTTTAGAAGGCATACACTTAATTTGAACCAACAATTTTAATTGGGTTAATTAAGTGTTTCATCTGCAGATGAGGGGGACGGCGATGGGCACCAAGTGCACCCCTAGCTACGCTAATTTGTTCATGGCGTATTGGGAGGAACAGTTTGTATACCAGGGTCATCCCTGGGGGGCAAACTTGGTGTGCTATCGCCGCTTCATAGATGACATATTTTTTATCTGGACAGGCACCGACACAGATCTAGACATTTTTATCACACATCTGAACACCAACAAATGGAACATTGTTTTATCCGCACAGATCAGCACAGAAATAATCAATTTTTTAGATTTAGACATCAACATAATAGACACAAAAAATCACGACCAAGAACTATTTTAAAGAAGTAGATGCAAATGGATACATTAGGAAAGAAAGCTGCCATCATACCCCTTGGTTATCAAATGCCCCTAGAGGTCAATTCCTAAGAATCAGACGAAACTGCTCAAACAATCAAGACTATATCCCCTTAAGGACACATGACATGTGTGACATGTCATGATTCCCTTTTATTCCAGAAGTTTGGTCCTTAAGGGGATATAACACAAGCAAGTAGCATTAAGACTCAATTCCTACAAAAGGGATATGAAGAAACTAAACTTCAGACAGCTTTGGAGAATGTTCTTAAAATACCAAGAGAAAAACTCCTAGTATACAAAGATAAAAAGAAAAAACAAAAATGAAGCAATAGTAGTATCCCGTTTATCTGCAGTTTTAATGGGAATAATAGAAAAGTAAATAAAATCATAAATAAGCATTGGCACATTTTACAAAACGACCCAATCCTCAAAAGTATTTTACTGGAAGAACCTAAAATAATTTATAGAGGAGCTAAAAATCTCAAAAACACCTTAGTACAAAGCAGCGACAAAGAAATAACACCAGCCAATAATTTTCTAAGTATGAGCAAAGGTTTTTATGGATGTGGGCAATGCCTGGCATGTAGGAACACCAAGACCAAAAAACGGCACATAACAGATATGGAACCTTTTATAAATCAAAAATTTGAAATCAAAGACCACTTAACCTGCTACTCCAAAGGAGTAATCTATATTTTAAATTGTCCGTGTAATCTCCTATATGTAGGCAGAACAATCCGTTGTCTGAACACAAGGATAGCAGAACATACAAGAAATATAAAAAATGGATTAGAGACGCACAGTGTCTCAAACCATTTTAGAGTAGCTCACGACCAAAACCCTGAAGGGATGCCATCAAACTCGTTAAAAAAGACTGGAGAGGAGGAGATTATATGAAAAAAATAGGGATGGAAGAAATTAAATTAATTTTCAATTTTAACACTTTAGCCGCAGGGGCTAAATAATGATTTTGAATTATGCCATTTTATGAATTCATTCTTTTTTACACTATCTTTTATGTTTCAATAGAGTCTACTTCTGGATACTTCTTAAAGGACCACTCTAGGCACCCAGACCACTTCAGCTTAATGAAGTGGTCTGGGTGCCAGGTCCTTCTAGGGTTAACCCATTTTTTCATAATTATAGCAGTTTCAGAGAAACTGCTATAATTGTGAATGGGTTAAGCCTTCCCCCTAATCCTCTAGTGGCTGTCTCATTGACAGCCACTAGAGGCGCTTGCGTGCTTCTCACTGTGATTGTAAATGCTTTCCTATGCGACGGGCTGAATGCGCGCGCAGCTCTTGCCGCGCGTGCGCATTCAGCCGGCGGGGCGGATCGGAGGTGGAGAGGAGGAGGAGAGCTCTCCGCCCAGCGCTGGAAAAAGGTAAGTTTTTACCCCTTTCCCCTTTCCAGAGCCGGGTGGGAGGGGGTCCCTGAGGGTGGGGGCACCCTCAGGGCACTATAGTGCCAGGAAAACGAGTATGTTTCCTGGCACTATAGTGGTCCTTTAACACATCATAGAACAGATTAACTTCATTGCTTGTCTCTATCCTTTGTATTTTAAGAATTATTTTTGTTATCAATTTTATTGAAATCTATTTTAAGAATATCTAATTGCATATATTTTCTATGTGTGTCAAATTATAGAAAGCCAATACCACTCAAATCACATACCCATTCGAAGAATATGTCATTTTTAAAATATGAAATATGTATGTACCCTTTTAAATATTTTAATTATTTCAAATATTGTTTTAATAATATGGAATTAATCAATATGACAGAATAAGACTTATATATAAGTATACAAATATAGGCAGGTCTATGGAACTTAAAATCAAACATTCAGGGTATCAACCTTTAGTTTATTATGATTTCTTATTAAAAATAGGACACTAATCGATTAATATACATGATTGGACTGTTAAATATCAATAAAGTTTCCAGATTTGACTAAACAGCCAAAAACGTCATACCCGGAAGTGAAATGATGAAAAGTAATGCTGGAATGCACGTTGCGTTCCATTAGACGCAACCCGGAAATGAAGGACACCAGGATCAAAACTAATGAGCGGGCTATTTAAAGCCGGAAAAATCAAACAAAATACATGACAGCCAACTGAGGAAGCCTATTTTAAAAGGTGAAACGCGTTTTGGACACTGTTATAGACTATACAGCCTACCAAGATACTTATCTGCTATGATTTTACTGTTTTTACTTTTGGATTTTTAGTTGGATCAATAAAGCACCTTTTCCTAAAGAAATCTCTCTCACCTGGCATTTGTACACTTTGGAGCCGGTCAAGAGGGAAAAGGAAAGCACAAATCACTTTGGAGAAGAAGGTTCTGGACATCCTGAAATAGTCCAAGGGTGCATACCATCCGAGTCATATGAGGGTATGACTCTAGGCTTGTGAGTGATATTGCTCTTTTATTTTATCTTTTAAGCCTTTTAAATACTGTATTGCACTATTTTTTGTACAATTCTATCTTGCAGAATATCTGTTGACATATTACCTAGAAACTCCACCTTTTATATGTATGTATATTATTTGTTTTTAAGTGGTGTAGGGGATACCACTTTTAGGTGTTAGAGCTTTTTATCCACTTACCTCCATTTTGTGAACATATCTTGTTATACTAAAACCGTCATACCTCTCAAGCATTATGTATCTGGTGGAGATGTTGCCGAAGGGAAACTCATAGGATGCAGCTATAAAAAAACTCAGATCCTCTTAAAATATGCTAATCTCTCTCTAATTCATGGGTGGGCCACTGACACGGATCATGAAACCAGAACTTCCGAAAGGGACAAACATGCCCAAAAAGGAGGTGTGTCTGCCAAAAGAATTGGAAGGCTAGCCTGGCATGAATGCATGCCATGCTGCCTGCCAATCATGCATGCTAGCCAACAGCATCCTGAGCTTGGCATAAATGCGTCTAATGATGCGCTCGCTCCAAGCTTTCTAAGGACTGTCCCCTAGCGCTCACATGTCCACTTGTCTCCTTACCTTCTTACTAGCGGACAGAAGCTCCTGGTATACAGTCTGAGACAGAGAAAAGGTGGATGTAGTGAGTGTAGAAGAAAGGGAACATGCTGCAGTGTTAGAGAGACCAAAGTCAGCATTACCTTAACTAATTTCATTTCAGCTAGTCCACACAAGTTTTGTTTCCATATATCCCTCTTAAGTTTCCATACTTAAGCAAGAGTATGTGAAGAGTAGTTAGGGTTGCCACCTTTCATGGAAAAAAATACAGGCCTTACTAATTTGCATAACTAATTATGTATGTGTGACATCACATGATGTAAATCACAAGGAGTGACAGAGACAATTCTGTGAAATCACCAAAAAACTACTTTGTTTGATTCTGCTGTATAGATGTATTGCTCCCAGTGTCTCCCTGTGTCCCCATGTCACCCATTGTCCCCCAGTGTCTTTTCCCCATGTCTCCTAGTATCCCCATGTCACTAGGGGACACTGTGAGACATGGGGACACTGAGACACTTGGGGACACTGAGACTATGTATCACAGTGTCTCAGTGCCCCATGTCTCCCAGTGTCCCCATGTCTCTGTGTCCTCATGTGTCCCCATGTCTCCTGGGGACACTGGGAGACATGGGGACATTGAGACACTAGGAGACATGGGGACA